GAATCTCATACAGTTGGCCTGGGCCCATCGACCCAGCCTGTCCAGGTCCCTCTGCAGAGCCTTCCTACCCTTGAGCAGATCAACACTGCCGCCCAACTTGGTGTCGTCTGCAAACTTACTGAGGGTGCACTCGATCCCCTCATCCAGATCATTGATAAAGATATTAAACAGAACTGGCCCCAATACTGAGCCCTGGGGAAGCAAGAAGCCTTGCTCTTAAAGTCTCAGCAAATACCCAAACTGAGGGGTGCTTGGTGATACACGTCTTGGGAGACAAGCTGTACTGCTAACGAAGATCTGTTTTCTGATGCTTCCAGTGGCAAACTTTATTCTGACAGTGTGTTTTCACCTATACTTAATGTTTTTTTTTCTCCTGCAGAGATGTGTGCATGTGTGTTAGCCCAAACGCTCTTTGGTGGGGCTTTGCTGCTCTTTAGCTCGGAGATTTGGTTAGAGCTATGTGAACTCACCGTGTAGTATGGCTTGGTTAGGATGGGAAAGGAGCAGGACTGAAACTTGGAGGACGAAAGAAGTTGAATGGAAAATATCTGGTAAGATTTTTCTATGAACTCCTGGGCTCTTCCAAGTGAGGGAGAAAAAGGATCAAAAATGAAGAACATTAAAGACAAATTGATGTCTGAACTGTCAGTTCAGGAAACTCCAGAGACAAACTGAATGGAAAGTTTTTGCCCTGAAGTCCCCATGGAATTTTTAAAGACAAATCTAAATGGAGAACAGCACGGATTAATGTCTTTGTCTACAGAAACGGAATAATTATTGGCAGCCAGGAAAGAAACTCCAGATTCTTGGCAGAAAAAGAAAGAGGTCCAGTTCAAAGACTTGAACTGAGTTGATTTAAAGTCTTTCAGGGGCAAATGTAAGATTTTTATATGTATAATAGAACAAATTTGTGGCAATGCAGAGGTGGGAAATGAAAAATGTTGGTTAGGGCTTGAAAATGTGTATACCTGTATTTGGTTTCTTTGAGTATTTTTGCAGGCTGGAATGATGTCTGAACATATGCCAAATGCATTGTTTACAGCAAGTAAGGTAATCACCTATAAGGGAATATAGAAGTTCCCACTTCTGATTGTGGTCTGTTACTTAATTTTAAAAGCAAGACTTACTTTGAGTATTTTAACAAAAGTGCAATTTCTATTTCACATTTTGATCTGAAATGAGAGGAAAGGTAGTTGATGCTGTCATCATCTCCCAGTTGAAAAATATATGTGGATTTTAGGTGCATAAAAGTTCACAATGATTTCTTGATTGCTGCGGGTGGTTTGGGTTTTTTTGTTGGCTGTGGTTTTTGGTTTTGGTTTGGGTTTTTTTTTTTTTTAGCAGATCATGCTGTTCTTTTGATCTATTTGATGCTGCTGGAATCATTAGGATGTTAGGCTGGTTTTACTTCCCTCCCTTCCATTCTCTGTAATCTGTATTGGTATCTAGTGAAGAGGGGGAAGTAAGGATTTTGCTTCAGTCCATTTGGGTCAAAATTCCTATGCTGTGCGAAGATTTCTGGTGAGGCCTTCACAGGCTTTTTAATATTGCTGGTTTCGTACCATCCTCTAGTTCTGCAGGGATGTGAGAGCGTGAGTCACGGACTGTATGCTCTGAGGCTTGTCAAGAGCGAGATCCTAGCAGGGGCAGTAGGCTGGACCTCTGTGTCCTTGAACCCTTCCCCTCCAACTCCCCTGTAAAGAAACTTCACAGGTCTGTCCAGTTTCGTTTCTCTTCAAATTAACCTGAAAGAAGGATGAATGCATATGGCTGTCACCAGTAGGGCTAGTTCACGCAGCTTAGCGGTGTAAGGTGTTTTTTAATGTCTGCTCTTCTGAAGAGAATTTGAACTGAGACACCAAAAGATAATGGGCAGGGGGAGAAAGCTTCACTTTTTCAAGCAGGAACATTGGCTTTTTTGTTACCTGGCTCCTGGGACTTGCCTATACACAGACTTGTTCTGAACAGCTCTCCCCGACACTTCTGTGAATAGAACAGGAGCTTCCAAAAATAATTTGATTTTTGAATCATCCGTTGCGTTTGAAATGCACGCCCTGCTTTAATAATAACAGACAGTTTTTAGGCATAGACAAGTTCTTGACAATTTGTTAAAAACAAAACTTTTTTAATGGAAATATTCTTTACTTTGAATGAACTTTTGAGAAATGTGCTTGGATCCAGACTGTGACTTGTGCATGAACAGTGAGGGCAAACCTGCAATACAGGCACTGGGACTCAAGAGGGATGCAGGACACTGAAACACACATCTCTTTTCTACCGGATTAAAAAATGAAAGCAAGTGTTGCAATCTTGACAACTTTAGCAAAACCAAAACAGTGTCTCAACCTACGTGTGTGTCCCCCAACTTCCCGTGTTCTCATATTTTAGCCAGCTTTACTCCACTGTTTGTTCATGGAAAAGACAGTTGTTTTATAATGTGAAGACCTTGACGTATAGCCTGCTTGAGAGTATGTTTTCCAAATTAAGTCATCTTAATCTCTCATTTCTTCAGTATAGAAGCATCCAGTTATGTTTGGGGTACAATTTTCTTGTGGGGAAGGGAGGTGGAGGAAAAAGAGTCAATCAAGAGCTGATCATGCACAGAGAAGAAAGTAGAGGAGACTTTTTCAAAAGGCCAAAAGGTCCAACTTAATCCCTGCTGATGCTGACAGTCCTGTGGAGATCAATATTCAGCAGACACAGCTATACCCTTCTGAGATTGTGCCTTGCCTTTCACTGGCAGCTCCTGCTCCGCATCCCTTTTGCTTGCCTGTCTGCTCTGTGGAGCTTGCCTGATCCCACTAAGGGGAACTGAGTACCAACTCTCAGCTGATGTCTCCCACGTCTTGCATTTTGTAGCTACGGGACTGAGAGAAATTGGGCTGAGAAGAAGGTAGCTGCCCTGGAAGGTTCAAGAGGGGCTAAAGTTGGTTTGGTTGCGAGCAGAGAGAGATCTAGAAACAGGGCTGCAGAAAGGCTTAGCAGAAGCAACCTGAGGACGGCTTCAGTAGAGAGGAGTCTTGGGAAACAAAGAGAAGAGCAAACCTGGGTAAGGACAGAGCTTGCTACTTAATGTAGAGCCTCAGCAGCTGATTTCACAGGAGAGGACATGGCATGAAATCCTGCACAAGAGGGCATAAAATGCAAAAGGTGGGCAATGTGTATGTATATAATCAAAAGGCAGCAAAATGTGAGACTACTTTGCCAGTGTGGGCTTGTGAGAGAGAAACTGGAAGTACTGTACCAGGAGAGCATAGTGAACCTTTTTTGAAGATAGTACTTGATAGACCTTTAGCTTGAAACAGTCTTTTGTCCAGCTGGCAGAAACAGAACTTTTAATTGTCTGGAAAAGACCATCTATACCTATTCTAAGTCCTATTGCATGGACTTCTCCCTTGGTGAAGGAAGGACTGGTCCTCCCACACCAGTCCAGTGACAACCAGCTATTGCTACTGCTCAGCCTGGAGAGGGCAAGGTCATCTGCAAAGAACTTAGTCTGTGCTGTCGTGTTCTTCTGGAAGTAGAAGGCTTTTGCTCTGGTCATCTGTAGCCAAAGCCCCTGCACCATCAAAGGAAGATGCCAGGGACAGCAGGGAATACAGCCTGATTCTGAGAGGGAGAGTGAATTCATCACAAAATTATCTTCTTGGGCATCCTGAACAAAAAGCAACATATAAAGCAGCCAGGGATTCAAATGTATGTTACCCAAACCACCTGTATCAAATCAAGCTACTCTAAGAACTTGTCTTCTATCGACAGATGATTTTGGAAGGCCTCCTTTAAATGTTGTTCTCCTGTGGAGCAGCATTTTGGAGGCAGCTCTGCAGCGTCTATCAGGTTCATCAAGTGCTGCAGTACAAAATGGGAGCTGTCCGTACTCCTGCTGGTCCCCGTGGTGGCTGGTGCAAAGACACCAGAGGCAGGGCTGCGAGAACAGAGTAGAAAATAAGTTTGATAACGTGGATTTATGTTTGGGGATTTTTTTTATTTTTTTTTGCTGGAGGCTGCGGGGCTGACAGAGGAGGGGGTCTGTCCCTGCTGCCTCCAAAATGTTAAAAAATAATAATAATAATACTGTAACGGTCTCCAGTGCTGCTGCTGATTTGGTACAACACAAATTTGCTATTCTCCCTCAGCATTCTGTTCTCTGTCCAGCCGAAAAACAATCCAAAATCCCTACCCGCAGAATTAAAAGAAATAAAATGATTTCTTCAGCCTTCTGTGGGGCCCGTCGGCTGGACTAATGCCGGTATGAGGCCGTTGGGCCTGCCTGCCTCCCCGGGCTGGCCTGCCCTGCCATCGCCCGGCCACGTGGCCTTGCTTTGCAGAGGGACGCTGCTCAAATACATGAGATAACTGTCTTACGCTGCCCTGAGGAGAAACTGGGAATAATTTGAGGTAAATATCTAGTAATAAAGGTTAATAATTAATGAGTGAGGACATAGCCTAGCTTAATAACTCCTGTTTTCTGACTGCCAGTTTCTGTTCCGGGACAGGAAAAGTGATTTTTCTGCTTTAATTCAAGGTGAATGCTGCACTCTGCTTTGCCTCCCTGCTCATTTAGGATTTAGGTAATAGATAGTTAAGGCAGTCTGAAATATTTTTGCAGCTAGCTAGTCCATGAATTATAGCAGATTTTGCGTATTTTTGGAGGGGTTTGAGGCAGAAATGTTTACAACAGCTTGCAGAAAGGACAGGACTTGCTTTTGTAAAATTCTCCTTGATATGCCAGCATCTGGGTACTTCAGTCTCGCTGCTAATCAGTCTGCAGGTTTCAGAAACATTATTATACTTCTTTTTGTCTGTCGTGTCCCCTGTTTCTGGAGGCGAGGAGAGGTAAGACCTTCAAACCCGGCAGAAGCACAAAGCACTTGTTCGCATTTTCAGACAGAGCTCCAGCTCCAAGCTGCACAGTTGACAGAGGCTAGCTATGTTTGCATCTTGCTAGCTCTTTTCAATTTATTTTTGTCACCTCACAAGTACCTTCTTCTCTGTCCCACTATATTCTAAAGAAAACTTTGAAGAAAGACAGCAAAGGACAAGGTGATAACATTACACGATCTTAGATGGCTTTTTAAGGATGTTATGAGACTCCAAATCATCCCTTTGGTGCAGGAAAGGGAAATCTTTTATTTGAAGAAAGGTTGCAGACATCTCTAAACCCTGGAGCTTTGGGGGATGGTTTATTCCACGTTTTCATTTTGCTGAAGTTTAAGATAAATTTTTCTATCAAAATTTCTCTGTATAATTGAGCAATAAAGTCAGCATGCTGAGGAGCCGTGGATGGCTTCACTTTCTACAGTTCTTACAAGAAAAGATCAGGAACAGGCGAGGCTTGTTAATTTGCGTTACAAGAAAGGCCAGTGTACTGGCTTGTCTGTCACTGCAGTATTTCATCCATCTGCCAGGCTTTCTCTCTGCATCCGGCTGAGTTGAGCAATGTGGCTGTGTTGATTTCTGTCTGCAACACAGGGGGTTTCACTGGACAGATATTATGTTATTCTAATCATCTTTATGACATGAACAGGGAAAAAAAAAAAGCCAAAACTGAGTGTGTGCCTGATATGTGCCTGTTGTGCTGACACACAACTTCTGTTGCAACTAGTGGGAAAGCATGGTTGACTTTGGCTTAGCACCCCGGTCTTACTGCACCTTACAGCACAAGTACTGATTTTTTTTTTTTAATTGTAACTTGTGATTGTGCAAAGGTGTTAGTTTGACTTTTTTTTAATTGCTCTTTCAGAGGCTCCAAGCTTTTGCTCGGGATAAACAAACTGTTCTGGTGAGTGCTGGACTTGAAGTCTTCGCACCTGAGTATGGTCGTACTGAGGAAGTGACCAGCTTTGCTGATAAAATCTGTGAGCTTGAGACACTTGTAAGTAAAAGGGTGGTTAGAAAGTCAGATTAACCTTGCGCTATATTAAGGCAACTATAGGACCAATAAAATAAGCATTAGCAACCCAAGAAAACCTGGAATTTCAAAATGTCTACTGTATCAACCCAGACAGGACTTGGCAGTAATTGCTGTAGGATATCTAAATTAAGCAATGAGGTTTCTGTTGTGGCAATTGTTAGGGAAGATTTTTGCAACATACATCAATTCCTCCAGGACCCAAATGCACTTTTCCTTTCAAGGGGGAGTTGTGGGCATTCAGATCCTTGCAGACAAGTTACTGAGGCCCTAAATCAGCAAAACACTTTTAAGCATATCCTTAAGCACTTTGTTGATGAAGGGGAGACATAATCTCTTAATTATCTGTGCTGAACAGAGAGCTGGGAGGCTCCTTGAGTATCTTTTAAAACACTCATACACTAGCTGTGCCCTGAAATGCAGAGCCTGAGGAGCTGCTGCCTTACCCTCTAGCTGCACTTGTCTTCTGTGAATGTGCTCGCTAACCTTCAAGTAAATGGTGCCTTACATCTGACTCTTTGTGGGAATTTTGCCTATCCTGAGTGCTTATCGGTTTAGAAGAATAGGCATAATGCTGTATTCAGCTTTAACTAGAGCACTTTGATAACTGTCCATTTTATCCAAATACTGCTGAGTGTGGGATTATTAAATAATCTGAAAGACAAATGGAGGATGAAGCCAGGAGGGGAACTGACTTTTATGTGTTCTTTTATGTGTTCGCATCTGTAGCCAAACCAGGCGTTGGTAGATACTTCAGCCCTATCAGCGCAGCCAGCACTTTGGAGTTCTCCGCAGGAGGCAGAAAAAGAACGAAAAGAAAGCCCCGCATCCCCTCCCCAAAGCAGCAGGCAATTACAGCTGTTCTGAAGGAGAAGGTTTGTGTCAGCAGATCTTACATAGCTATGCTCAGAAAGTTTGTGTCAGCAGCCATAAAAGCTGGCCTGTCAGCATTTCTTTTATTCCATACACAAAATGCATATTACTGAACAATTATGCCAAAGACAGGGAATATTTCTTGATAACGCAACTTGGAAGTAGTGTCTTCCTGTGTGAGCGATTCATGTCATGTGCCACAGAAATCTGTGTGGGTTTATATGCAAATCCTTGTTGCTGGTACTTAGTGTAAGATTGCGTTGGAAGCCAAGTCATTTGGTGTTGCATCCTGGCCAAGGTAGTCTTGGCCTGACCCAAAGTCCATGGAAATTAGTGAATTCCTGGTAATTCTAACGAGCTTCCAAGCGTGCCCTAAAAAAAGCATATTCATTATGAGGGAAATTTGGTGATGCTTAGATTTTTGGCCTCCAAAGTCTTCAGAGAATACGTAAAAAGCACAGTGATTTCAGTGTGCAGTTGGGATCTAGCTGTTACAAAAGGCAGGACAGAGAGCTGGGATGAATTTTGAATACAAACTGATTTACTGCTTTAATATATGTTTATTGCTCTATCTCAACCACCATTTAACTGTGTTTTGGCTGTCTCCATTAAGATAGATATTTTTAGTCCTCCTTTGTCAGAGGTCACAGTTCAGAGCAAATATTTTATTAAATAACATAGATGGAGAAACAGAATTGGGTTTTAATTTCACTTTTTATTGAATGAGCCCTGCTTTTCTGTCCTGTGAATAAGCAACAATTTGCTGCACAGTCCTCATCTCTGCTTACTGGCAAGCACAAGTTTAAGAAACAAACAAAAAACCCAAGCAAAAAGTCATGTTTGGAGTAGTTAAGGAAGCAGGAGAAGAGGAGCATAAAATCCCCAGACACTCTATGTGAATTTAATCTCTGTCCATGTACAGGAGCTTGACTAATTAACTGCATGAGGCTCCAAGTCTGATTTCTGAAACTAATACAGACCTCTGTCTGGACACGGGGACTCTGGTGATCCAAATCAGCGTAGAAATTGCTCTGATGCTGAGATCTACCTTGCCGACTTGTAGGTTGTTACCAGTCTGCTGCTGGAGGTTACCACTGCCAGCCACTCAGCTGGCACAGCAGGTTTTATAAGGCCTCCTCTTTTAAGCAGCCTTCGGTGGTATTTACGATAGATCTGGATGCCTATGCAAGGTAGTGAAGGGAGTGCAAGGATAAGGCGTGCCGAGAAGTGTGCTGCCAGGCCACTGGTCCAGCTGGGTAGGGGGTCACCCTAACAACTTTAAAAAAAAACAAAAAAACAAAAAAACCACCACCAAAAAAACCACCAACCAAAATAACCCACAACAACAACACAACAAGCACTGCCAACAATAACAACAAATTCTGTGCCAGCTGCTCTGCAGCAGGCATCTGACCACAGCTGAAGCCAGACTTAAAGGAAGACAGTGTCTACCTAAGAGCTAGTATCGATTTAACAAAACGATGCCAAAGGGTGCAAGTTAGAAGAAATGTTTTCATGGAGTTGCAGTTTTGTCTTCCTTTTTCTCTTTTCCTTTCCTTTTTCTCTTTTCCTTTCCTTTTTCTCTTTTCCTTTCCTTTTTCTCTTTTCCTTTCCTTTTTCTCTGACTTAAACCTTCTCAACCTGAAATCAGGATACTCTCACAGAAGAGAGGAAAAAAAAAAATCAAACAGTTATGTAAACAGTATTTTCTGTTTTTTCCATGGGCCTTCTAGCAGTTTGGTATTCAGTCAAAAACAAATACATTGATTTTATCCATGTCAGAAAGAGTCTGGCATGCTTCAAAGCCCCGTGACTACTCTCTAGCTTAATGTATTTTTACTTTTTTATGTATATAGGTTTTATTTCTTTCCAGCAAACGTGAACTATTTTTTGTTTTCCTTCATGAGTCTGAGAATTTTTCCATTCATTTCAATGAGAAGTGCGCAGGGCCTCTCACGCTGTCTCTTACAGGGCAGCACTGATCTCTTCTTGTGTTTTGGAGGGAGGTGAATGGATGTTGTAGCTTTGTCTAACCAGAGGAGCCAAGCTTTTGTGCTTGCAGTTCATTCCAGGACATCTTTTTCAGCATTACTTATCCATAAATGCTAACCTGTTGGTGGAAGGGGGAGGGAGGGGGCAATATACTCTTGTGGCAGATGTATTGGGGAACAGAATGACATTGCTTTTTCTGAGGTTAATAACGGAACAACAGGTTTTGTTGTGTTGTATTTATGAAAGGAATGACCCAATTATTAATTTTTAGCCATTTATGCAGACACAGTCCTGTTCATCTCACAAAATGCAAAGAAATACCCTGAGGACTAACTGCAGATGTTTCTGTATAAGCTAAAGCATAATTCTTTAGAATATCGTCCCATCTTGAATACCTCCCCACCAAAGGACTGAGTTGATAGTCATGTCCAGTGTTTACCTGTTTTCTCAAAACCTCCTCTACAGTGGTACCTTAACACCTCTCGTGCAGGATACTGTATACCTTCTCTCATGCAGGTTCATAGTGTCCTGCACTGCCCAAGTACATTGGTAGGTACCACAGTGTTTTCATTATCTTCCTCATCTGCATACATAACTCCCTGCAGATTATATAGAAGCTAAACTGTCCTCTCCATTGGTTAATGGTATCCATGAAGTGGGTGAAACTGGAGGAGAGAAGCTTCTGAGAGTTTCTAATCCTGTAATCTTTCAACAATTCGAATAATTTTAGTGACTTGTGAAAAGATACAAGCGCCAAATGTTTTGCTTTTCCTTTCACTTTGACAATCAGATAACAAAACCCAACAAATTAGGCCCGAAATGGCTGAAAAACACCTCTAGTTGCCTAGGAGGGAGGAAAGGAAGGGGATCAATTGAGGCACTTGTAAAGCAGTCACAAAGTTTACTTTCTGTCCAGCCCACCATAGTGTCTTCAAAACCACTTTTTCCTGATACAGAGCTTAAACTGATTTTTTTCAGCTTTAGCTCTTTACACTATTACAACTAATCTCCAGTGGAAATATTTCTCTGTGAATATTTATATAGTTATCTAGCTGTTCCTTTAATTCTTCTCCCTTTAGGCCAAATAAATTTAGTTCTTGTCATCTTACTTTCAAAGTTGTATTTTTAAATAATAAAGCAGTGTTAAATATAGTTGAAAGCGGACAACATAATGCATCTGAGATTTCACAATAATTTAGGCTTTTGGAGACAATAGTGTCCATTTTACTAAGACCAGTAATCCAATATTATTAATTAGTTCCTTGTCAGAAGTTTTTGAACATTTGAAATAATAACCATTTTTTTAAATAATTTACTGTGTGCTACTGGCATGTAAAAGCCTATCGCCAGACTTTACGTAAATTCTCCATCCTGTTTTAATACTAATTACAATGAGAACTTGAATGTTTAATTTTTAAACGCTGAATTAATTTTTCCTTTTGCTTGTTAAAACACTGAAATAGCTTGGAAACTCTTGTGACATCTGACATGGGACTTCATGGTGCCTGGTGGAAAGTGTTGCATGTTTCCTCACATCCTGCTCTGGCAATATTAATGCTATTCATTCTTTAGCAAGTGGGACTGGGAAGAAGTCCAGGTTTATCTGTCTTTTCCTGGGGGGAACTGGAAGATCCAGGAGATTATGGGATTTGGAGATTCGTAACTTCTAAAGCATTTGTTTGAATTGCTAGTAACTGAAAAGTTTAATATACTAAATATATTTGGAAAGCCCTCTTACTTACAATTTGTATACCAAATGGTATCCTGCAGTAAGCTTTTTAGTGGGCACTCTCTCCTGGAAAAGTCACGCAGAAGTTAACAAAGATGTCATGACTGGAATTTGACTGAAATTAGCTCTTAGCTCAATGATACATCATTGCCTATTTGATGTGTTTACTATAATTTTTACACACAGTATTGCTAAGTCATTACCTGGTAGTATATATAGATCTTCTGATTAGCTCAGATTCATAGATACTCTGTTGAAATGAAAAGTGGAAATGATGAGGATTGGAGGTTTATCGCTGCTTCCTCTCTAAGATCTTGACTACCACTGGTTAAAACTTCTGAGTGCACTTCAAGGCAGAGTTACTGAGATG